TATATTGCTTGTAGCACTTAAAACTGTTATTCCACACAGTATCCATGCAGCAGCAAAGGCCATTTCCGCTTGGAATCTGTGGAACCTCTCTGTCTTTCTGAGAATCAGAATGAATATCTATAATCAAGTAAAAACACAATCATTACAATTGTATCACATAAATTGTGCATTAAATGTAGAATTGATAACTGCATAAACACACTACATTTAAAATATAATTAGCTCTTGAATTATTAATGTCTTCTTCACAAAACGTAACATACCTCAGGTGTCATGACTTCCGTAACATAAGAAACGCTTGATTAAGCTTTTATTTTCAATGCCAAAACACTGAATACTTTGTCAATGATTCCATCAGTCTATGACAAACAACAATGCAAATATTTCACTTAGTGTTTCAAATAAATCCAGCATCTAATAATTCAATTACATTCCAATAGTTTCAGATTATAATGAATGATAAGATATTGACAATCTTTGGTGTAACAGTACTATGAAGCTATAAAAATAAGTAATTGTGGTATGTTATTGTACCTGTTCTTCATCAAACACTGAGATACGTAGTTTGCACAGATTTTTCAGTGTGGGTGCATAATTCGGATGCTTGTGTAAAAACATTCTTTGTGATTTCACTGCACCAGATGTGAGTTTGTGATTTCACTGCTCCAGATGTGAGGTCATGATGGAGTTTCTACAAAAAAAAATAGTTGTTTTACAGCACAATATTACTATTTATCAATGTGCTACATATGTTAATCTTGATATTCTTATGTGTCATACAGCGCATGTATATGTGCCATTTTATTTTTTCAGGTTTTCATAACACTTACCACAATTTCTTCATTATTCACAACTGTGTCGACCAAAAGCCCGTTTCAAAGCTGTGAGGGGGTGCTGTAAAGTAGACATATGCATTAAAAGTAGTTTTATGATATTTTGTTTGTGTTATAGTTCTGTTGCTAACCTTTGAAAAGAATATGGCTGTTCTTGATCACATCCACATCTGAAGGGTGTGTCTTTAGTAATTGTTTTAGGGTCTATGCCAGAGCAACCTGTGTGTAACCATTTGTTGCACAGGTCACACTGAACCCACTTCGTACGTTTGATGTGTGGATGCAGAGTTCTATAAACATAAACATGATTGTAATTTTAACAGCAGCAAAATTCATTTACACCAAAACTTGCATATGCCATAGTCAGGGCCGTAGCTAGAGGATTCGGGGCCCCCTGAAAAAATATTG